TACTGAGTGGTTTCAAGTCAAAAGCACATCTTTGTGTATTTACGGAAAAATAATTTATCGCTTAGAAAATTTGTCACATCAAAATTAAACAGAAGAGGAAGAGATTATAATTTAACATACCTCAGGAAATTACGGTCTTAAAAAATAGTGAGAAATTCACCAGAGACAGAAAGAAATACATAGCAGATAGTGGTAGCTTTTGTTCCCAGTATGCCCTGGGAAAGAGATCAATGGAACAGACTGGAGCAACCCACGTCCCTTGACAGGCATAGTTTTCATTTCATCAAGAGAAGTGAAGCCTGGAAAATGGGAAGCTCAAATCTGTCCGAACGTCCGAACTGAGCCAGCTAACATGAAAGTCACTGCACCCTAAAATATGAGTATATGCTAATAAAATCCATAATGAAAATAATAAATAAATAACTTGACATCTAACTTTTGCATGAGCCTTTGGGGCACATTCAATGGCAAATGTCACAATTTAATAAAGGTAAAGTTTTCCTTGTCCAGTTGTGTCTGACTCTAGATTAGATTAGATTAGATAACTTTTATTATCATTTTTTTCCTGTGGGCACAATGGTACACATTAAAAATGAAATCTAGTTGCTTGCTCTCAAGTGTGCACATACATAACATACATTTAAAACGTACTATGTACAACATAAGTATAGACCTACACCCTTGCGTATAAGTAACATATAAATATTGATCACTGTCCATCTTGAATACATAATGGAAGGAAGTCGCTTTAGAGTTCACAACGTTAATACTGTTTGGGACAAAGCTGTGACTGAATCTGGATGCAATCCTCATCTCTGTTTCTTGACTGAGGGAGCCGGTGTTGTCCAAAAAACATTTTCCATGGTCATGTGGCTAGCATGGCTATATGCAAGGGCACATGGAAGGCTGTTACCTTCCCACTGAAGTGGTACTTATTAACCTACTTGCATTTGCAATGCTTTTGAAATGCTAGGTGGACAGGAGCTGGGGCAGGGAGGGAAGCTTACCCCATTGCACAGTGCTTGGCTCTCAATCTGGGCTGTCAGCTTTCCCAGTTTAATAGAGTTAATAGGGTTGCAATAATTCGGACTGCGTTTTCCCCCTAACATGTTGTCAAGCATGTATAACATTATCTACATAAGCATGTCTTTTATTCTGATGGTAACAAAACCATAATAAATGTATCACATTTTAATTTAACGCTTAGCAGCAATGTCTCTTCTTGGATCAATGTTGGCATCCTTCCCCCTTCCAGAGATGGCGTCAAGCACAAAAATAGCTTTTCCTCGCCCTGTTAATAGTTGGTTAACCTCCGGTGGGTAAAAGTCAGTTACAGGTGACATAATAGGGAAAGAAAACTTGATTGGAAAAGAGGGCTTCCTGCTCTTTCAGGCCATCAACACAAACACATTCTTTGTACAGCTGCATTTTATCTACCGCTGTGAGCGGTATGCCCATATCAACATCTGTCATGCTTAAAACTGAAAATCCAAGGATCTGTGTGCTTTCATGCTAGATCAGACTTCCTTAACCTGACACATTTCAGATGTACTGAAGCTGCAACTCTCAGAATTTCCAACCCTTTGAAATGAGCCCGGGGCAGAGTAGGTTGGAGTTCTCGAATATAGAGGGTTTTTTTTAGGTCTTTGAATAATCCTGGCTCCTGCTGGTATGGAAGGCCTATAAAGGTTTTGGAAATCCAGAATGATTTCTGTGTAATAAGAGAATATAGATGGTATGCATAAAGCCTTCTAAGGAGATGCTGCACAAAGCACATTTGCATGAATGAAGCACCTCTACCCAAAATATTATGGTAGCTGTGTTCCTTACAAGTCTCCTGTTGATGCTTTGAAAATTGTCTGCAGCTGTCTCCATGTGTGTGAGCATAGCCACCTCACATTCTAGCAGATCCGATGGAAATTATATTCAGGCACATGAGAAGATGATTAGGACAGGATCTGGGGCATCCTGACCATATTCATATAACATTTTTTTTTTGGCTAGGTCATGTACAAATCCATACACTGAATTCATGCAGAAATTGCTTCATTCCAAACTTTATTCCAAATTTTTGGTCCCTTAGTGTGTTGTGCATATTAAGTCCATTTATCAAGTTTAGGCCCAAATGTGCAAATTAGAAAAATCCTGAATTTCAACTTTTTTAAAGTTGATCTCTTCTCAAAATAGCTATCCATGTTTCAGCACGGCAGTCAAAAACACAGTGCTCGGGAAATAAATCACATCCATAATAGGAATCAGTTCTTGTTCTATCAGTTCTGATGAGTTCTAGGAGATAATGCAAACATTCTGAGAAACATCTGAATGTTCTGTCCTTGGTTTTAGAAGTCTCTAGTTCAGCTTTGTCTGGATGCTTTTGATAAAATCACTTTCACAATCATTATGGCATTCTATACTGAACACCATCAAACAACATTGAAAGCAAACATATCAACTAAATTGGGTCAAAATCTGCCTGGCAATTTTTCAGAAAGGAAGCATGGTGAGAATCAGCAAGAAAAGCAGAAACCTGAACAACTGGACATGTTCTCCTGAAACAGAGGTCTCTGCTTTTCTAGTTGATTCTCACCATGCTTCCTTTGGGAAATGCTTTTCAGATTATTGCATTGTTATATATCAGTGTTTCTCAACCTTGACAATTTTAAGGCATGTGGACTTCAGCTCCCAGAATTCCACAGCCAGCAATGCTGGCTGTGGAATTCTGGGAGTTGAAGTCCACATGCCTTAAAATTGTCAAGGTTGAGAAACACTGTTATATATCTTTCTGTGTGGAGACTAATGTCTTTTCATGACTCTGAAAGCCTCTAACATTTTTCCTTGATTTTAAGGAATTGTGGGAATCCAGGTAGGCTGCAAGTGTTGGAGTGATGTTATATTATATAAAAGAGGGGATTTGTTCACATTGCTTGGTGAGCTGGTAATTAGGTAAATGTAAGTTCAATATGTGCCATCCATTAGAATTTCACTGAATTCCTATGCATTAAAATTCTACTGAGCAGAGGAAGAAAAACATAGATAATATTTTCAAGGTGGAACACATGGCCAAGAGAGTAGAAACAAACCATCCAAGAATTACAATTTAAACAGCATTATTAGTTTCATTCTGCCTTTGGAAGCTGGGCAAGCTGAGGGCACCTATACCCCAAACGTGAAATATGTTTTTTCACTGCTGAGAATGTTTTGTCACAGAAAAGCAATGAACATGTAATTAGAGAAAGAGATTGATTTATGCTATACTAAGCAGATAGAGCCTAGGTCATTTTAAGATTCTTGCATGAATGGCTATGCCTTTTTGATTCTAGGTATTTCTTGGCAACAGTGAGTTATAACAGGGTAATCAAAGAGAGAAAGAGAAAGAGAGAATGAGATGAAAAGATGACAAAGTGCTAACCACACCACCTGCATAGATAATTTTATATTTGGTGAACTTGCATTCCATCTTCAACAGAAGTTTCTACAATGGCAGAAGTCTAAATTGAAGGCTTGATAAAGAGTATAGGATGTGGGAAAGGTCTGGCCAAAATAATTGATTAAAGGGATCACATCATTATTACTGCCCATTTTATTCTCTCTCTCTCTAAATTCACACATTACATTAAACCACAATATGATTTGAATAGTGAGGGGATTTCACTTAATTATGGGCAAACTAAATCACTATTCTTTGCAAGTATGACACATGGATTAATGTGATCCCAGACAATTATGGCTTACATAGCAATCTGGAATTAACCGTTGGATATTAAGTAAGCAACTTATATTATGCAGCATGGTAAATACAAGGAGGATGGTTTCTAATGTTTACACAAAAGGAAATTGAAAATTGGTTGGAGTACAAAGAAGGGGGGAATCAAAAATCAGATATTTAGCTTTATTATCTAGGGGTGTTTTTCTTTTTTTTCTTTTTTTAACATTTATAAATAATAATATAGTGGAGATTTTGACATCAAGCTCAAAAATGTATAATTCTTATAATGTGCTCTGCTTGGAAACTTTTAACACTCAAAATAAGGTTAGTAACTGTATAATTTCAGTAATTATTTGTCCATTGATATCTTTTTTAAAATACATCTCTGCCTTAAATAAAAATTTAAAAAAACTCAAGCAACCAACAAAAACCAAAATGGTATTAAGAAAACCAGAACATACTGTGGAACCAAGATACATTCATTACAGACCCCACTGCTCTTTTTATCTTACTTCCCTGAAACAGGGATTAGAATTGTCTAGTGTGAGTTTCCCTTCAAAAGTTCATTTACATTACTTTATGTTTTAATAACACAATTCTCCCAAAAATATCAAATCAATACAAACCACCGAGCTAGAAATGTTTCATGACTTCACCATTGTTGATACATTTTATTTTGAAATAGAAGAAGACCACCTATGGGTTCTCTTTAACATGAAGGCAGTACTGGTGCCTTTCAAGTAACACCATTAAAACAAAATGGAGGCAAAAGGCCATAGCCAGAACACTAACAATAGGAATTTGTTAAATGTATATGCCACTTTCAGAGACAATGAAATAGTCAAAACAGTTGATTTGCTCAATGGCAGTGGAATTCCCTCCAGCTCCAAAAATTTCACTACAGCACTCATTAAAAAAAATATAAATTAATTTTATGATAGTCACATGTATTATGCCAACCCCCCAAATTACAGAGTTTTATATTCATGACAGTTTATTTTATTTCTTGCATGAATTAAAAACTGTAATACCTTCATTGTAGAATTTAGATAGATAGGTAGTTAGGTAGACAGACAAGACAGACAGGCAGACAGACAGATGGTGAAGAAAAAATCCTGATTCTGGGATGAAAGGTGGCAATTTCATTGAATGTTAATGAAACATTTTAAAGATGTTATCATTCCCACTGTTTATTTAGGCAGCTCTGATCAATTGCAAGCCAACACTTGCAAGATATAGTATCAAAGAGTGCAAATGATCCATATTGATCTAGAAAAGCAAAGCAGTTGCTTACCATAAAGAGGATCCCTCTGTTCCAGTGACCTCTAAAAAGTCATATTCATCCTCCAATTGGAAATCCGAGAAAACCAGAGCTATAGTGTCTCCCGGCTCTGCTAAAATCGTCCACGTGCAGTCAGCATTGTTGTTGTACTCCAAAGGATAATGTGGGGTTGAAATTATTCCACTCTGCCCTCGAAGTGTCCCACCACAGGCATCATCAGCTGAAAACAAAACAAGAAAGGTTAGTTCAGCCAAGAGTAACAAATGTCAACCTGAACTCAACGCTTCTGACACAACATTCTCCCTGACCCAACTTGGTCAACATACAAAACATTTTCAAGGCCTTTCTGTCAAAACTATCATGGAAGTTAATATATTGGAGCAATCTAAGAGAGGAAACATAACACAGAGCCCATTTCCTCTTGAGTCAAATGAGAAAACTTGGCTTTTATCACATGTCACATTCTGGACTGAACGCACATGATGGTCTTTTCCAGAGATATATGGATGATGGTATCCCACATGATTCCAAACTGATATGAGTCAAAATAAGATTGTGAGGTAGTTGGAGGTGAGTCAGTTGAATGCTTGTCTCAGGAAAGGGTGCTGACATGCTGAGGGATCTGGGGATAAATGCTTCCAAGAGACTGTCTAAAAATGAAATTGGGAAATTCCTATTCTAGCTTCCAAAGTTTCTACCGTATATTCCGGCGTATAGGGCGACCCGGCGTATAAGATGACCCCCATGTTCGACGCCGGGTCGCAAGGCGATCGACGCCGAGTCGCAAGACGATTGACGCCGAGTCGCATGCCTAGAAATATACCAGAAACTACTGGTATTTCCGGCGTATAAGATGATCGACACCGAGTCGCATGCCTAGAAAGTCATCTTATACGCTGGAAACTACGTTATTTCCAGCGTATAAGACGACTCGGCATATAAGACGACCCCCTAGTTCGGAGGCTGTTTCAACACTCTCAAAAGTCGTCTTATATGCCGGAATATACGGTATTTATTCCAAACTAGCTTAAATAGATGTACATCTATAGTATTCTTGCTTCCTGAGTCTTGCCAACAATGTGGGGATGGCTGAGTTTTTCGTCCTTTAAATTTCGTAGTCCAGGAGATGTTTGGCTCAGAAGCAGCAAGCAACTATATTTGAATTGCATTTTGTTGTATTGCAATGTTTTTTCACCATAAACTATTTGGTGACATTGACTCAATTCCATTTGGTGGTATATAAATATAACAGACAGATAGGTTAAATAATATAGATACTATATAACTGGGACAGTTATATGTAACTATTGGTAAAAGCTTCTCATAGCTTCATTCAATTCATTTTTTTCTTTTCCTGGTTATTTTGAAATTTGTCCCCATTTCTGTTCCAAATGTTGTTCTGGAAAAAAATAATGACCGTAATAGGACTGGAGGTGGGGGAGCAGCTGCCTGGACAATTAGGGGCAGCATACTTAACTCACCCAATAAAGATGACCAAAAATACTTGACAGTCTTGCCTCTGAACACAGTTAAATTTAGCTGATCATAAAATGTTGGCCCAACTCTAACCTGAACACCCCAAATATGAATTTGGTTATGCCACAGTTACTCAATAAACATTTCAAATGAAAAACTTAAAGAAACAATTTTTAACAATCCTTTCTATATAGAAGACTAGATAACCCATGACCCATTTGCTCATTGTTTCAGAGATATTCTCTTATCAGTTTCTCTATTGTGTTCAATGCTCCTTCTGTGTTAAGTTCACATCCTCAACAAATTTATTTTGTCAGCATTCCTAATATATAATGAACAATCAAGGGAGTGTCTCACCTTTTTATCCTAAATCTCACTAGGGCTAACCACTTATTTTTGAATAGATCCCACAATGCATTTATATGCCTGCAAAACAATGTCTTAATCAAACCTATTTACTTAAGTCACATTTTCTTTAAAACAACAAACAATAAACTTCCTCACACTGATATGTTTCTCAATGACCTGCTGAAGAATAAAAGTCTGGTCAGCAGAACTGTTGTCCAACACTTTCTAAATTGTGCTAATGTCACCTCATCTATCCTTCTCATCAGAATTCAGCCAAACACCTTTCCAGGAACACTTAAACTGATTAATTCCTCTATCATTTTTTGCATTTTCTTTGGCTATTTTATTTCCTGTTTACATTAACAATATCAGTTTTCTTCCAATCATCAGATAATTACAGTCTTAATGCCAGTGTTAAACAAGTCCATAGCATTTCCATGTTGCAAGATACATCCATATTTACAATTTCCTAAGTCGTTACAATATTTTTATCCCATCTGACTTTCATGCCTAAGGTGGGACTAAAATTCACAGTCTCCTGGTTTCTACACCAGCATCTTCTCCATTACAGCAAACTGACTTTTTTAAATAGTTAAAACCATCTATACTTACAGCCTGACCATTTTTCAACTTTTTTGCAGCATTTTATTTTCATCATTTCTTCATCATTTCCACTTTTTCATTTATCACTATCATTCCTGTAAAGAGATCTAAAATATTCCTTCCAACAGTTTCTCATCCCAAATGACTCTGGTTTCTCTTCAGATCATACACATCTTTTTACCAAATGATTTCATCATTTTTATTTTTAATATCATTCACTCTGCTGGAGATTCCTTCACTCTTCTTTCCTCACTTCTAAAACATGTTTTATAACATCTGTCAAAATTGCTCTGCACATTCTCTACCTTTTTTCATTTTAATAATTTCTTCTTTGCTCTGAGTGCATTCTTCGCAACTATCTTCTTTGAGAACAAAACCTTTCATCCTTTTCCACAATTTTCTTATCCTCGAGGTATTTCACCCGATTATTTCATAAAACAACTTTTTCATACTTTGCATTAGTATATCTTCATACTTTTCTGTGACATTCTGTAGCATAATTCTTTGCATTCTTTTCCAAGAAGTTTTCCCATTCTATTTTTTTTTTATTTCCACTTTCCATTTGCCCTCTGGGAGATTAATCTGTTTCTTAATTCTCTTTCCATAGAGAAATATTCTTTCTCTTCCTGTAGTTATTCTTCTTTTATTCTAATTCCTTTTCCTCACTTTCTTTTATTTCCTTCCCACTTCTTTTTCCATGATCCACTGCTGACCCTAACAATGGTCTACATTACCTCTCATCACCTTTTGATCCTTCACTCCTTTTTTACATTCGTAATCATAATCAAATCAAGTCATTCTTTTGTTATGTATAAGATGAATATATTTGTGCCAAACCATGAACTTTAAACAAACAAGGTACTAACTAATCACCACATTCATTTATTCTTATCTCCAAACCTGCCTAGCCTAGGTGGTCTGGGCCTGTTCTCTGACCCACCCTGCCAGGGAGCAGGCTCATGAAGAGCTGAAATCCTTCAGCAGGCAGCTCTTTTGCTCTGAAGAAGCTGACTGTCCACGGATTTCAGCTCTGCATGTGGACCATTCAGCTCAGTGGGAAATTTCGGCAGTCAGCTCTTTCATAGCCTCCAGACATGAGGGAGTCTATTTGGTAGGCTATTTTGAAATAGTCAGAAGAGGTTTATAAGCCATAAAGCATCTTTTTGAAGGTCATCATTAAGTAGTCATGTTGAGGACTACCTGTAATGGCAACACAGTCTTCCATTTTACTGTATCAAATCACTGTATTGTTAATCAAAATAGTTTCTCCAGGATTCTCTGAACAATACAATTTTCTTGCCTGTAATGCTATGCTTTCCACCTCCCTACCAAACATAATATACATTTTCAGAGCAGATACACCATTCAACAGAAAAACAGGATATTATCCTCCTACTCTTTTTTAAGGTATACCTTTTTACTTTTCAAAGGCACAATTAGTTTAATTGGGAAGAAGGTTCAAAGAACCACTATTAAATCTGAGACGTTGAGAAAGTAGCAATCAGTTACTGCAGTAAATTGAAAGTAAATTTTAAATATCTCCTCCTTTAAATCAGCTGGGTCTGTGAAGAGGTCAAAGATATAGTTCGGAGAAAAGCAAACAAAGGAAAAATTAAAACCAGAAGGAATTAACATAAGCTATCTGTTCTAGTACATACTTACTTTGATGAAAATTGTACAAAATTCACTTAAAGATGACTTTCGGGGAAACCGGCAAGGCTTCAGCTTTAATGTTTTAAATTCAGCTTATTAAAGGCAGAGCAGTAAAAATTTCCATTTTGGATTTGTTCTTAAATGGCTACTTTCCAGCTTGCTTTCTATTAAACTGAACAATTCCGAGGTTTATTTCCGGTTTCGCAATCACCAAAAGCCTTTCCATTGGGAATACGATTGTGTTTGTGTATTATTTAATTACTTTCCATTGGGAATATGATTCTGTTTGTGTATTATTTAATTATAGTGAAGTGTGGTGGATCACATGGGTTTAGGACCTTGGGCTGATGATCGGTAGGCTCGTGTTCGAGACCCAGTTGCTGTCGCATGATGGGGTGAGCTCCTATCATTCGCTCCAGCTCCTGCTGACCCAGAAGTTTGAAAGCGGATGACCATGAGTAGATAGATGGGTACCACTTTGGTGGGCAACTTAATGGGAACACAAAAGGAGCTCCCAATTGGGCATCCGTGGGCAACGGTGATGTCACTGGTTGATCCTTTCATCATGAAAGCAGTAATATTTAATTATAGTTTGCTGAACAAAGCACAATTGTCTAGTTTTGACCAACATGATCAAATAAAACTAACTGCATAATGGTTTAGTGTAAAATAAGAACCATCACAGTGAATGATGACAAACTAGTACCTACTCTGGAAAAGATACTCTATGTATAATTGGTTTTCTTCATATATATTCTAGGATCTGGGATTAATTTTGTTACACGTGCCATTTCTTTTTGACATAGGTTTGGACAGGTACTCCACAAATTGCATTATTGTCCAGGTGCGCTAAAAAGGGAGAAGGTTATCAAAATTGAACTAGAATACTTTAAATTTCATACTGGAACTTCAGGCTCAGCTATTTGGCCTCAAACTATACATGACACAATCAGTTTCTTAGGTGGTTTGGCTGCAAAAGGACTGGATAGTAGCATACTGGGTGAGCTGTTCAGTGCTTCCTTAAAATTCCTTAAAATTATACTAGAGACTTGAGTATTTTTTCCAGCTTCAAACACAACTCTTTGAATTACAACTCAAGAGGGTGGAGGTTGAGATAAGTAAACAGACAGAGAGTACATG